ATCCATGCAGACGATATAGAATGGTGACGAGCCGATGGCTACTAGATAGACTAATAAGTTTCTTCTTCTATTAAATATCCCTTTCTGCCGTGACAGATTTGCTTAGAAAATGACATTACACTATAGTTTTACACCCTTATTCACTTTTTTTTTTTTTTGATGAAATTATTCAATGAGTTTGTTATATGTGTGTATGAGCGTCTTGTGTGTTCGTTCTTTTAAAAAAATTATGAAGTTGAGGTTGTAAGTAGGGCAGCTATTTTCAGAAAATAAATGCGTGGATATTGCTGAATTGCATCTATTTTCAAAATAAATTAAGTTTGAAAAATAATGGAATAAAAAAGATTCTTTAATTTGAGAGGGAGAGTACTGTACACTAAAATTGGAACTACAAATGCATTGGAAGGGCGTTTGGTTTAAGTTATCCCTTTTAATTTCAGATTCTATAAATCAGTTGGATGACGATTAATCTTATAGAATAGACCAATTACACTGCAACAAAAATGGGCTATTAATATCTTTATAGTGGGACACTTTTTCTAAAATGCGTCTAATTATATGTGTATTAGAATATTTGCTAAAAAGTGTCTTATTAAAAATGAAAAAGTGTATGCATATTATGAAAAACTATCATAAGTGTAGTATGTGTGATTGCTTGTGAATTTTTACCCTACTTAATGGGTCACTTTAAAGTGTCTTAATAAGTGACAATCTAATAATACACTTTCAAATGTTTTATGACTTATTGTGACTCGATTATAGGAGACACTATTTAGTAGTGTCTCACGCAATGTGAATCACATATGTCCTATTACACCACTTATTGAGACATAAAAAAGTGTCTAAACTACTCATTTTTGTTGTAGTGTTATGTAGACTATACATCATTTTTTTTTGTAAATGAGCTTTCACTTTTGGATAAGTATTGAGTTTGACTGCTACTTAACTCAGATATAATAGTATATGGCCATCTTTTTTTGATTTGTTTGAAAAACTTAGTCGTTAGACTGTCAATGTCTAATTGATTGGAATGGAATATATTTTAGTTATGATGTCTGTAATTCTTCGATAATTAGGTTGAATTTTCCAGTCCGCAACCCCAAGGTTCAATCATAACTATGGAAATTTCTAGGCAAAATGTCAAGTGTATATTATACATGACATGAAACAGTCGAATACAACAATTGATGTTAAATATGACAATGATCAGTATAATTTTGGATTCTTAAACAGGCGGTTACAAAATTCTCAATATTTCTCAGTTTAACAGACAATTTTGTTGTAACATTTTTAATACAGCAAAATGAATTATCAAAGTGTGGCTTTGAAAATTCTCTTTTAGATTTTAACTTTATACTATACTCCGCATGGATATGAAACTCTATACAGGTTCAAACATTTTATAGAGAAGTAAACAACATACCGTAATCATCTTTGGTCATCCTCGTATCAAACTATTAAGAACGGTAGGAACGACCTCATCTGGTAAAGCTTCATAAAACATTTTTGTCAATAGCAGTTAGAAGATTCCCGCAAAAGGGAAATGAATATTTTTTTTCCTCATTTTTCATTTTTTTTTTTAAAAACATATAGAGAGATTGAATCTACAGTTAAACATCTATAAATTAATACTATTAGGAGCGTAAAAAATTATTAATTTATTGATAAATTAATAATTATTAATTTATCGATTAATTAATCATACTAATTTAGAGAAAATCCCAAAAAAATCCTGATTAATCTTTAATCTTAGCCGTATAAGATATATATTCATTTATTCCCGTATATCCCATAGGTATGATTAGAATTAGGCTCCACCATTATCTCAAATTTTATTACCTACCTACTCTATCTAACATGCCTAGATTTGACCTTTTGATGGGAAATCCTTAAACTCCCATCAATTGCTTGTTGGATACATCATAAAAAAAAAATCATAACATGTACAAAAATACTTTGATTCTCAAGTTATTATTAATTTATGATATTGATGGGACCTTTATTTACATAGGGGTTTATTAAAAAATTATTATCTTATTATCTTATCGATTGTCTTTTTTTTATATATATATATTGGTCCCGACTTTAGATAAAAAAAATTATTGATTTATTAATGTTATTAATTTATCGATTATCAATTTATTGATGTTTTATTGTATATTGATTGAATTCTCTCAATGTCAATGAAGGACATTCAAACGCTCAGGATTTGGGCCGAGTTATTTTGAACATCAGAAATGATCTATCTGTTCATTGGAATACAAACTGAAATTTATTTGCTCTAGTAACAAATTATGGACTTATCAAACTCCCGTAATGTTTTGATTTAAGTATTTAGGCAGAAAGCCTCTCTTTATTGCAACCCAAAAAATCATGTTAGAGATCAGGAGAGGCAAAAAGCATATTGCAAGTTTGCAACCAAAACTTCACTTTCGATGTTGAAATCTCTAATCATGATTTTAACCAAAAAGAAAAAAAAAATATTGCCACTGTATTAAAAATACTGTTCAGTTTGAATTTATATTTTTAATACTAATTGAACTAAAAGTCAAATTTAAAATTGGACAATAATTTTGAAATAGAGAAACTACTGAGAAACTGGACCAACAAAGAAAAGAACTTTTCTTTTTTTTTTTTAACATACTGAGGAGGCATAAAACAAAAATGCCTAGGTTACATCATAATAACACCGAACTAATCTATCAGATACCAAATAGCCTAAATACTCCAAAAGAAACCCAAACACTTCACATTGAAATCCCCGCCGGATTTGAGGGTCTTTACCGACGAAGTTAATCTAAAATCCCGGAATCATCTCAGCGGAGTTAGCGGCCTTCTAAATTTTGAGACAAAATGCTCGCCTCCTTAATTACTTCAAAATCACCTTAAATCAGTAGCGTCAGTCTTAAATCCCCTTCAATCGGCTAGCCTCAATCACATCAAAATCCCATTACAAGAGTCTCTATCTAATATTGATTTGCTTGGGATTACCTGGTGACAACAAGAATTTCTTCCTGGTGCTCCAGTTCGGAGAGGCAGCCCTCCTCGATATCGAAAGGGTTTTCCTCCATAGTTTGATAATTGTCAGAGGCTTCAAGGTCTTCCAGTGCCCTCAGTAACCCATCTTTATTTTTTCCTTTGCCTCCCTTGACCTTAAACTTGGATTTAAGGTAGAAAGAATTAGATTTGTCCGGGGGTTTTCGATCGGTGGTGGAGGGGAGACGCACCTTGTTCGATGAACGATTTAATCCTGGATGAGGGATATGAACGACGGTGTGGTTCTCAGGATTTAGAATCGGAGGGTTACTAATAGGCGGTGTTGAATCTTCCATAGTCGTCATAACGTTATTTTCCTCCACTTGGGCCTTATGATCTGATTCGGGCCTTTTTGCCTGCTGGGCCTTCTCTTTAACAAGATCTTTCTTGGAAACCCATGTGAGTTTGTCCCTATTCTCATTTTTTCTTTTACTACCTGCTGCAGCCTATTTGAAATTAGATGCACTGGGATCTTCTTTTCCAATTTCAAAATTTTTCAGCCCAGATGACCTCATATGTTCTGTAAGCTCCTGGTTCAAACGGTTTAACGCCTCAAACCCACCTAATGCAGCATGATAAGGGCTAATGAAGTAGGAAATGTAAGCTTATCTTCGTTGCAAGCGTTATACGCTTAAATTCTTATTAGTCCAACCATCCAACCTAATGCTGATTGGGCCTATCTATTGGCTATCCAACCCAAATCAAACAAATCTATTTATGGTATCAGTTTCAGATACCGAGTTTGATCGAGCATTACCGAAACCACATAACACTATATTATTTGTTTCAAGGAAAAAAAAAAAACAACTCATTTTCTTTGCCATAATTTATCTAAAGGATTGATTTTTATTTTTTTTTAAGATGAAAAATGTATTATGTTTTTTTTGTGAGTTACTCCCTCTATTTCAAAATGTAAGTCGTTTTAGGATTTCAAGGTAAACTATTGGTTAACTTCTCAACTTTGTTCTCAATAAATGATGCTAACTACTTTTCTTCTAGTCTTGATTAAAATCCCAAAACAATTAATGATGGGTAAATTAGATATTTGACACACAAATTAATTGCTAAATAGTTTGTCTTCTTAGTTTACGAAGCAGAGTATAAGCATATGTTCGGGTTAATTGAGATGCTTTTGGAAACCGGAGCTATGAGTTATTCAAGATTATCGGACAAACTCACTACTCAGTATTCCGCATCGAATTAATTTAAACTATTTAAAAATGTTAATCGCTTAAAATAAATACAATATTCATCGTTATACACGCATTAAAAATAGATACAGTATGTGTTGTTGGTATCAATAACACTTGTGTGTTTTCCTCATTCACACCAGCTCCCTCTCTCAAAGTAATTTTCTATGTTTCTTTTCTTTTTTGGACAATACTCTCAATATAATATTAGCTCAAAGAAATGCACAGGCCTCCTTAGTTTGTGTCTAAATTCTAATAATAATTTTATTCGGCATGAATTGAAGTCATCAAATTGGTTTTCTTTTCTCTACCTTCTCCAAATTGTTCCACATTTCTTGTTGCTGTGGTTGCTCAATTTTGTTGGGAACTAAATTAAGTGGGAGTCAGAAACTGTCTTCATCAAGTAATATCTTTTCTTTTTCTAATCCCATGAACATTGATAATCGACAGTGGATAAGCCAAAATACGTAGTGGCTTACGTTATATTACTGCAATTTTGTCCAGACTCGAAAAAGCAGATAATATCTGGGGCACAACATTTTCCAGTAAACAAATAGAATTGGAATACCCTTTCATCGACACTTTGGGTTAATTAAAGTCTTCCGTAATTTCTTTCACTAGGATGATCCAACTGAACCCATATAAATAGGTTGAAATTTGAATTAGGAACTGTGTTTAAAGAAGTGGAACATTTCAGGAGAAAAATTTCACCATCTATATTGACTTGATCATAGAGGCAGAACAAAACAGAACAGAACAGAACAGAAATCAGAAATGGGATGGAGAGGGATTCTGGGATTTGAGTACGGAATAGTCCAGGCACCACTGGGACCGGATATTTCAGGCCCGGAGCTTGTAGCCGCCGTTGCTAATGCCGGCGGCCTTGGGTTCCTCAGATCCCCTGATTGGGTAACAACATTGTATCAATCAATTTCTCCTTTGTTTTATTTTGTGTTTTTTTTCCCTCTCTGATTGCTCTAAATGCGCAGGAAGATCCAGAGCATGTAAAGAATCTAATTAGGAAGACCAGGAGCTTGACGGACAAACCGTTTGGAGTCGGTGTTGTTCTTGCCTTCCCCCACAAGGAAAACATTAGGGCAATTCTGGAGGAAAAAGTTGCAATCTTGCAGCTCTATTGGGGTGAATGCTCAAATGAAACTGTGGAACAAGCCCACGAAGCAGGGGTCAAAGTTGTACCACAAGTATGTATCAAAAACCTTAATCAGTCCTTAATAATGCTCTATCAAATTCTGGCATTTTGTAATTGGTAGTATTAAAAATGAAGGTGGGCACTTTGGAAGATGCAAAAAGAGCTGTTGATGCAGGTGCTGATGCTATAATTATCCAAGGAAGAGAAGCTGGTGGACATGTCATTGGGCAGGTATGTAACACTCTACAACATGATTGTACTTTGAAATCTGGATTGGAGAATTCAAAAATTTGCTTTTGGATTTGAGTTGATTTTGAATGTGGGATTTTCGGCAATTGTTGCAGGAGGGTTTGATCTCTTTGGTGCCAAGAGTTGTTGAACTTGTGAAGGGTCGTGATATACCAATCATTGCTGCTGGAGGAATAGTGGATGAGCGTGGTTATGTTGCTGCTCTGGCCCTTGGAGCTCAAGGTGTTTCACTTGGCACCAGGTACATATTCTTGCTTTCTAGTTGATCACTCAGATTATGTCTTCATTGTGTGTAATAATAAATGAATGTAGTAAATCATAAATGATACTGTTGTTACATTAATAAAGAAAGTGAGATGAAGAAATGCATTAGGTAGCGACTAGAGTCGAACTAATACATTTTGAAATCAAGCATCATTAAGAGTAAACATGGAATCACTGTATCGAGAAATCTGTTGATTGGCAATGTGTCGAATCATGTAATAGTATGCAAAATAAACGTCAAAAGACAAAAAGGAGTGACTACGAAGTTTATGTATGTATTGGAAATAGGTTTGTGGCCACAGAAGAAAGCTATGCTCATCCAAGGTACAAACAAAAGTTGATTGAACTGGACGAAACAGAGTACACCACAATCTATGGGCGCGCTAGGTGGCCTGGTGCGCCTCAACGTGCCCTGAAAACGCCGTTTTTCATGGACTGGCGAACACTTCCGGATTACATCGACGAGACTATTGACCAACCTATTATTGGCCACACAACCATTCACGGTCAGGTTAGCATACGATCAATACTCTGTAACAAGACAAATCGGTTTTTGAGTGTTATTTGTCGTCTGAATGATGAATACATTTGTCTAGGTCTCTTCAGTTTTAGTTGAAGTAAAAAGACATACTAAAGTATATGTTTTTATTTTGGCAGGAAAAAGAAGTTCGTAGATTCGCCGGAACTGTACCAAATGTTGCAGCCAGGGGTGAGATTGAAAGCATGGCAATGTATGCGGGTCAGGGGGTTGGTTTAATTAAAGAAATCTTACCGGCCGGTGAAGTCATCAGGAGGCTTGTTGAAGGTGCAAAACTTCTGATCAATCAACAATTTGCAAGTGACATCCATTAAAAAGAAGAAAAAAAAAATGGTCCCGTTCATTTACGCATCCCCCAGATTTGGTTGCCTACTTGAAAATCAGAAAATGAATGATATTCTTCTGATAGCAGGCAGAAAATCAGAAAGTGTTGTATACAATTGACAGGAAAATTCATCTTCTCTGGCAGCTCATTCCCAAATGAATGAGGGTATCTATGGACTGCAATTCAAACCCATTCAGGAATAAAAATAATACACAAAAATATATTTCAAGTTGCAAGCCTGAACAAGGCGCAAAACCAATTGTCTAATCTTGCCCAACCCCGTGTCTGCTGGCGTTTTATATAGTTAATAAAGAATTATTAAATTGGACCAGGTATTTGTGTTCTTCTTCTTGATGCAATGCCCTGTCCTCTCTCCATTAAAAATTCTGACCAATCACGTTTGAAATCCTTTATTACTTGGAAATATTTTGCTCTGCAATTGGTTGATCTTGCAGCTTTCGGCAATGAATGTGTAATTTAAAAGAAGTAATAATCAGAAATACGTACGCTCTTCCGCATTATGTGTGACAGACACCGTTTAATAACTTTATTTTAAAAAATAAAATAAAAGAATCATTGACCTTTCCTTTAACTTACATTGTTGTTGTATGCAACTACTACAGGCATCCAAGCCTCGGGAAGAAAAGAACAAAACACGATTCCATGAATTGATTTCTCACAATTCACTGTAAGATGGGGACTTTATTTGGTGAGATCTTTGTGATCTACACCATCTATAATAATTTATTATATCGTGGCGTAACTATATCTTGATATCTGATGATTTGTTCGATTTGCATAGCCAACCAGATTTTACCTGAGTTTTCTCTTTGTGAGACAAAAGTTAGGTTACAAAAATTTTGGCTTTGTATAAAGTTAGCTTTGGTGACAGAAAGAGGAGCCGCCTCTACTCCAGCAACCCAATTTTTAGGTCTACCATCTCCACTTGCGATCATAAATCCAAACAGGCCTTTTTCACTGGCATTATGGTGATAGAAACTCGTGTGGATATTGTTTATCTCAGAATCTGAAGCTTAAGAAAATGAATCAATTGTCACCAAAATCAACTTGTTCTTTCATGATTTGTCCAACGCCAGAAATAGTTAAACCTGAATTCAGCAAGTGCCAAGATGTGCAGCAAAGTTGGAACGGAGATTGCTACAAACTACACTATCAGCCCAAATCTATCCAACTTTCGGACGGTGACTACCATCTTTTCTAGTTTCTCTTTAACCCACGTGATTGCATTTCATTTGCAGCAGGTATCCACATTGGGGAAGAGCAAAAAAAAGAACAGTAGAAAAAGAAAACTGCCAAATAAAGTAGTAATGTTGAATTAATATACCAACTGCGTTGAAATTCTTGAAACATCCGCTATAAAACAGGGTCATATCCGGCATCCCAAGTTGTCGTACAAAAACATTTTTTCTCAAGAGAAATAGGAGAAAAGACCCTCCTAGATTGTGAAAAAAGAAAAGCTCAGAAAAGATGGGATCTGTTGGAGCAAATGATCAAAAGCCTCATGCTGTGTGCATTCCATATCCAGCTCAGGGACACATAAATCCCATGCTTAAGCTTGCCAAGATCCTTCATCACAGAGGTTTTTACATCACCTTTGTCAACACTGAGTACAACCATAAACGCCTGCTCAAATCCAGGGGTCCTAATTCCCTGGATGGTTTCCCTGATTTCAAATTTGAGACCATCCCTGATGGTTTGCCTCCTTCAGATGCTGATTCCACTCAGGATATACCATCTCTTTGTGAATCCACAACAAAAACCTGCATAGTCCCTTTTTCTGCACTTCTTTCCAAGCTTCAAGACTCTGTTCCAGAAATCCCTCCAGTCTCTTGCATAGTTTCTGATGGGGTTATGTCCTTCACTCTTGAAGCTGCTGAACAGTTTGGCCTCCCAGAAGTCCTTTTCTGGACCACCAGTGCTTGTGGCTTGTTGGGTTATACCCAGTATAGCCCCTTAATTGAAAAGGGTTACACGCCTCTAAAAGGTGAGTACTCTGAAGCTTCTCTGTTTCATTATTTTTGTGCTTTCATTTTGGTGTCATGATAAAGTAATTGTCTTTTTTCTTTGATATGCAGATGTGAGTCAGGTGACAGATGGATATCTGGAAACGAAGATTGAATGGATTCCTGGAATGAAACCGGATATAAGATTGAGAGATCTTCCAAGTTTCATCAGAACCACATCACCAGATGATATTATGCTTAATTTCCTGGTGCAAGAAGTTAGCAGAATCCCTAAAGCCAGGGCTCTGATTTTGAACACTTTTGAGGCTTTGGAGCAGAGTTCTGTGGATGCACTTTCAGCCATGTATCCTCTTGTTTACAGCATCGGTCCTCTGCCCTTACTACTTAATCAAATTCAAGACGATAAACTCAAATCAATCAACTCCAATCTCTGGAAAGAGGAACCAGAATGTATTGATTGGCTCAACAGCAAAGAACCCAACTCTGTAGTGTATGTGAACTTCGGCAGTATCACTGTGATGAGTGCTCAGCAACTCACTGAATTTGCCTGGGGACTTGCCAACAGCAAGAAACCATTTTTATGGATCATTAGGCCGGATATAGTCGCCGGGGATACGGCAATGGTGCCACCGGAGTTCTTGGAGGAAACAAAAGAAAGAAGCATGCTGGCAAGCTGGTGCCCACAAGAACAAGTCCTGAATCACCCTGCGATTGGAGGGTTCTTAACACACAGCGGATGGAATTCCACCCTGGAAAGCATCTGCGGTGGGGTTCCGGTGATCTGCTGGCCGTTCTTCGCGGAGCAACAGACAAATTGTAGATACAGCTGCGTAGAATGGGAAATGGGAATGGAAATTGACAATGATGTGAAGAGGGATGAAGTTGAGGTGTTAGTAAGAGAGCTGATGGACGGTGAAAAGGGACAGAAGATGAGGGAGAAAGCTCTGGAATGGAAGAGCAAAGCAGAAGCAGCTGTGAAAGCACCAGATGGATCTTCTCGCCGGAATTTGGAGAAGCTGCTCAAAGAGATGGTTCCACATTACTCATTCTGATCTGGCCGGCGGCGCAGATGCGGGAAGTTGAATCTGTAGCAAACGTCGAGCCATCGATTCGGTCAGTTTTATTGTGAATGGGTCAAAAAGATACAACTACATCTCAAAGAACTTTGGACAATGCATGCAATAATTTAAGCTGCGCCTGCACTACCATGAAAAATGAGATTGTCAATGTAAAGTTGGAATTAGTTTTGACTCTTGTAATATGATGAAGAATTTCGATTGGTTTGAGATTTTTTCTTTTCCGGTTTCTGTGAAAACAGAGATTCTTGAATGGTTCTTGCAGTTTAATTTGCAACATTCCCCTCTTTTTTCCCCTTGGCATGTATACTATCTCTCTTTCACTGTACTTCCCGTTCTAGAAAAATAATTTAATTTTAATTTCAAGATTTAATATGGACAAAGTGAATAACATAAAAAAAAAATATGGATGGAGTCATGGAGATAGAGCCAATAACAAAGATGTAATATTAACATCCCAGATAAAATAAACTTTGGCATTGTGATACCACTACCTGAGAATTGCCATAAAAGGGAATAGTATCGGTTTATCAAAAATTCGGAATCAGTAAATTGGGATCCATTTTCAAAAGAAAAAAAGAAAAAGAAAAAATTGGGATTTTCGGCTTCAAAAGTCAACACTTTGACCTTGAATCACGTCAAGACGTCATCATTGACAGTGATAGATATCAACGCGGACCAGGTCGTTCTTAATCCGATGACGCCGCGATGATTCTCGATACTCCCTCTGTCCAAAAATTATTGTCCAGTTTTATATTTCATTTTTAGTACAATTTAAACTAAAAATGAAAACTCAAACTGGACAATAATTATGGGACGGAGGGAGTATTTTATATTAGTATAGTTCAAGATATACATTCTCCATTTCAAAAAAATATTAAATTATGCCAAGAAAAACAAAAAAAAAAAAAAAACTCAAACCAAACCATTATTTTATGGTGTAGCATAAACCATTACTAAGTTTGGTAACACCACCAAATCTTCTTTTCTTTTTTCTTTTTGAAAGATACTTGATGAACGAGTTAGTTTGATGTATTAAGTTTTGCTATTTTATTGTGAAAAAAGAAACCCTTATTTTTACCATAAGAAAATGTTCTCTGTACGATGGAGCAAGTATCCAACACAATTACACAATTTTTCATAGTGTACAGTAAATCTGACAGCCACTTAATATACAAGGCCATCGTTGATGAAGGCAACGTTGAATGTACAACTTACACGCAAATGTCTATATGCTTTTGATAATTGTTGTTGGACGATTTTTAATAGCTTTTCGATGAAAATTTTATGTTTGTTTCGTTTTTTTAATGTGTATTTTTAGGTGTTTTTTATATTAAGAATATAAAAATGTGTATTGAAAATGTAAAAGGTATGTTGGGATAGAACAATTATTATTTAAATATTTTAAAAATACCATAAAAAAACCTAACAAACAAAACCTAATTATTCTTTTCCCATAAAAAAAAAGAAATAGAAAAAGAAAATTATACATACACAAGAACATCGTTTCAGAAATGTATTTGTGGGCACATTTTTTGGTTCCCATTGTGGCGATTGGAACTTGGAAGAGGAGCTATTACTCCTACAGTAAAATAATTGTTATATTTAAAAATTATATGTAGTTCAATTTATATTTTAAAAGTAAAAATTCACACTAGAATATATTTCAAAACAAAGGAAAAACAATTTTTCATAGGTGTGAAGTCTATGGGATTCCACCTCAAAACTAATTAGAAATGAGAGAAGTAGCCCATGAAACTTATATATTGATACTCAGAGTCTTTCAACATCGATATGGGATTGAGATGTTTTAATAATTTCATTTTATTGTTAAAAACACAATTGATGCATTGTTGTGTCTTTTTGTACAAACTAGTACGATTCCCGTCGCGATACGCGACCAAATCATTTATTAATTAATTTGATTTAAAATACTAAGTAATAGTCTTTTCATAAGTATAATATGTTTGTAACGCAAGCTAAGACTCAAACGGTTGCATTAGTTATCTCATCTCTCTCTATTCTCTCAAACCCTAGTCACCTAAAAAAAAAAAATCTTTCTCCCATCTTCTCCCATGGCTCGATGGGGGAATTGGTTTGATTTTTTTTAGTTTACAGTTCTTTTTATCATTTAATAAATAGGATTTGTCCTTAAAATATAGTTCCTTTAGTAGGTTAATTATAATTTATTTAGAGGGTAGAGTTTTTTCTTGCAGTGTTCGTGGTGTCTTCTGTACTGTTGTTGCGATATCCGTAGTTTCGTTTGTTGCTTCACACTGTACGGTTGTAGAAGATTCAGTCATGATAGATTTATTTGATAGATCTGTGATTTGGGGCTTTTATCAGATTATTAGAGATATGTTCTTGATCAGATTGATTATCTGACACTTAATATATCCATCGTTGTATTGGGTAAATCTAGATAGGTTTATCCACGAGAAACACAACAATAGCATTAAGTTGAATTGTAAGTTGTGTTCTTGTTTTCGACTGTATCTTTTATCATCAATCGTTGTTGGACGATTTTCAGTAAAATAATATAACATAGTTTTTATTTTTTTTAAAAAAAGAGTATAATATGTTTGTAATATTTAAATTACGACTACACATTGACTAATGATATTAAACTTGGGCAGCAAATGCAAACTTTTCCAAATGTCATAGGTGATTAAATCCTGAAATCATTCTGATCTTCCGTTTTGCCCAGAAAACTAAATTGGGGCTGTATTTCATTTGTGGACTAATTTTGAAATTATAAGTGCTCTCCAATCCATGCACTCTGAATTTAATTATTTAAAGGATTAAATTGGAAAGATGGAGTTTATTACTAATGATATACAACTACATGATAAGAGGAGAATATCCAGAGGAGAATTGTTGTTCTAAACAATATCCAGATGGAGGAAAAACATTCCATCAATCAGTATCAAGAATTCAATTAATCCAGCAAGGCATTTGATTGAAATCAGCAAGCTCTATATATACAGGACGGGGGGAATTATAAGTGAAATTACAAAGGATCAATAATGACTCAGTGATACTGCAATAGAGTCCTAACAAATAACTGTCCCAGCACATGACAGAAGTTACAGGAGCAGAAGTGACCTTCTAGTGTATGCAGACAATGCAAAGTTTTCACGTCCCGCACCTGAGAGTCAAAAAAACTTTTAATCCAAACTCTAAGATGACTGTGAATGTGAAAAGATTTTTGCTGAACTCAACTGAAGGACGTACAGGATCTAGATGAAGGAACACTAGAAGAAACAATATATAATATGAAAAGGGCATACTATTTATTGTTCCATCAATGGAGCCCGAACACAGATGATTAGCTGTGAAATACCTTAATCGGCAAAGATGAATTCAAAAGGGTTCTTAAAAAAGAAATGACGCATAAAAAAAATTAATGTCATAATATACGAGCAGTAGGTAATGAATCAATATCCATCTTGTAGATTTTTTGAGGGCAAGACTCTTCCCAAACAACATTTACAAACTTTTTCCTTGTATTAAGTTCTTTAATACAACAGTTTCTCCAAATACCAAAATGGAGGTGCATGTTTTCTATGTTATCTGGACTCGGATACAGGTGCCGTATCGGGTGCGGGGATCTGAGTATCCGACTCGTCAATATTTTAAAAATCTTGGACGTTTTAGGCTAAAATACCGTACCGGACACTCATATCAACACCAGAGTCGACACAACACGACACGGGTATTCTCCCTAAATAGAACAGTCCGGGTAACAGAGCATGTTTTATAACATCATTGTGCTTACGGATTCAGCAACTTAATACACAACCAAAAATTAGAAACACCTATCAACTCATCAAAATTTAGTAATTAACATTGTCTAAGCTCTATATACTGATATGCAATATCTCTATTTTCCAGTTTCCACAATGCCACTCACTTCTCTGGTTCTTGTTCACTGTCAAGGTATATAAGTAAGAACCTCCTTCTCGCAGCCGACGCGCATATCGGCCTAGCTACACCATGAAACATTGGATCATTTCAGAAAGAATAGCTACACCATGAAACAAAGAATGCAAGGTAATACTGCAACAAGTCGATTTCAATGGATACAGATTCACTCAAGCAATAGTTTATAATTTTACCATTGATCAAGGCTACCAATTCTGGACTAAAACTGATATCCAAGGATGCTTCTCGAAAACCATATTCGTCTTGGTGAATATAATATCTATGCGGGGTTTCATTAGAGATTACCAAAGTGAATCCATCATCTCCATTACTGCAGGTGACTTCCACTTACTTCTTTTTTGAACAAAGATAAGAGCTTTTGAGGTTCACAGCATCCAGAAGCTTCATATCAAGCAAATTATTGCAGGGTGCAGCATTGGTCTGGAAGATGTATTATTTTTCCTCCTAGAGATGTACCAACATTGTGGGAAATTGGCATCCCTGATCGTTCTGCTGCTGAATTCTACATTCCTGATCCCAACCCAGAATACAGCAATAAGCTTTACATATATCTTCCCAAATACAAATCATATTATATATCATGCAGATTCTTGCAAACTGACCTGTGATTTTACACTTTTTGGTTCAGGTTTAGGCAATATGGGCTGCGGGAAGATATGCAGAGTTATACGCGATTTGGTTTATACAGTAGGCTTTAGGCAATACGGGCTGTGGGAGAGATATGCAGAGTTATACGCAGATGGTGATTTGGTTTATACAGTCGGCACCATCGATTATCATAAAGATTGGTTTTATGCTCATGTTAACAGGTTGATTCTTCATACGCAAACATGGGTTCCGGAATCATTCATCAAAGTCTATCCCTAATAGAGCCGTGACTGATACAGATAATTGTCTTCCTAAGGTGTTTTTTTTTAAAATTTTTTTTTTTTATGGAGTAATTTTTAATCATGATGGGATCACCCTGACGAAAATATCCTCCAGTTGTCCACGTAATGAGATAAAGTTAGCCGTTGATTACAGATTTTAACGTGATTTCTTGTTTTATAGTACCTAGGTATTAGCACGCCCATAAATTATGGATTGAACTGGACGAAACAGAGTACACCACAATCTATGGGCGTGCTAGGTGGCCAGGTGCACCTCAGCGTGCCCTGAAAACGCCCGCTTTTACAAACTTTATATAATGTCCATGTCCCAAAATTATTGTCCAATTTGAATTTTTACTTTTAGTTTTATTGTATTATAAATGAAAAGTCAAACCAGACAATAATTTCGGGACGATTGGATTATGGTTTTTTGGAGAAAAAAGAAGTTCGCATATTCGCCGGAACAGTATCAAATGCTGCCGCCAGGGGTGAGATTGCAAGCATGGCAATGTATGCGGGTCAGGGGGTTGGTTTAATAGATCTAACCTGCCGGTGAAGTCATCAAGAGGC